CGATTAACTCCTTGTTTGCTAGTTTTTAATTGAAGTTGAAAACAGCTAGTTGAAAACAAGTGATCAGAGTGCTTTTCCGTCTGAATTTGTGACATGAAGTTGTCATTAGTTTTAGTTGCACGCTATTTTCCGTTGATAAACAGCTCGCAGTGTCTTCCAAAATAACTCTCCCTCCTACCTTTTATGAATCTCAACGATATCGTAGTTGTCATTGCCACTAACGTCGTTTTGTGATCCAAGTCATATTTTAGGTTTTGGAGAGATGCCTTCCCTTATTACGAGCAGAGCGCGAGAACAGTGTCAAGTCACTGGGTTTTCTTTTGCTAACTAGGATTCTTGAGAAGTGCGTGTTTTCATTTTTGCCGTTCTTTTCTTTCAAGATCTTCAAAATATTCAAACATGTGTAATATGGTATGTATAATGTTGAGTCTTATCTTCAGATATTTTTGGAACATCCCCCATGTTGGAGATGATAGCTCTTCCCCATATTGCGATTTTTTAGGTGTAGTTCGCAGTGCCTACGAGCTGCACAGTCGAGATTAGGGAAGAAATTGGTAGATATTAAAAATGATCCTACAATTTGCGGGGGAGTCTTTCTCAGACAGCTGCTCATACGTAATCCACAGGTACACCATACTTTCGAATCGCTCACAAATCATATACTACTCTCTTTTTTGGTGAAGGAAAGACGAATAATTCTTCTTCGTCTCTTTGTCAGAATATCAAAGCTCCTATCTGTCATCTCATTTCTAGGTGGGAAATCTGCACGCCGACATAATTGTTAGTATTATCATGCGTTTTATTGACATGGCTGTGGGCAATCATGATGCCACTCTCAGGTAATCGTGTTTTACTATGTGTATGACTCAATTGCAAACATGCCTTTATCTCTATGGTACGCTAATTTCCCTTTCCGTATACGACCTTTATTTTAAATCAATTTACTTTTTGACTCTCCTGTTGGGGACTCTTTGTTATTAATTTATTGCTCTAAAATGTTTGAAGATCATTTCGTTTCCTTCTTTTTTTTTTGAGCGATGTTCTTTTAAAGCTATCGTTTCAATACTGCCCACCACATCATTTTCAAATAATCGCGGATTTGGTAATCAGTAAAAACTCATCTCAGGAAATTATCCATCGAACTTTATTCTATTCGATATGGATGTGATGATCAGATGTCTGAGAAACTACTGAACACGTTGGCTGCTTCAATAACGCCAAGAATAGTTTCTCAAGAAGAACGAAATGGTGAGTATCTTTTATCTCATTTCGCATATCATTTCATCACATGCTCATACATTACGTTCATAGCAAATCATTCGTTTAACAATTAAATATTTTCCTTTGGCAGGGATCCTACCGCTGAAATCACTTGGTATCTCATCGCTGCGTGAAGATTTGTGTTGTCTTCTCTTTGACATATACACGTCAGCCTTAGAGTATGCAAAATTAGGTAGGTTAGTGTTTGTTTTATCTGTACTATCATGAAGTTTTTGTTGACAAAACTTTTTTCTTTCAATAGCGGCACATTATGCGGAAAGATGTGTAATTATTTAAGGCCAACATATTGTTCGAGGTGTCCTTCTGCCCGTTCTTGAAACTGGTTTGAATGATCCCGCTATTCGGGACTCTGCTTTAAGAGCAATCCGT